AAAAAAAAAAAAAATAAAAAAAATAATTATTTTTCAGTTTTGGAAAAAAAACTCTCTAAATGGAAAACAAAAAAAAAGAAAGAGGAAAAAAACAAAATTTTTAAAAAAAAGAAAAAAAAAGGAAAAGAAAAAAGGTGTTTCAAAAGAGAAAAGACGAAGAAAAAGAAGAAACAAAAGTAAAAGATCAGTTCAAGAAAAAAAAATGAAGATTAAAAAAAGGGGAACTGAAAAAATTTAGATCGGTTGGATAGAAAACTGAAAAAATGAAATTCTGATTAAAATTTCATTAACCGGAATTGGATTAGATGTACAACAGTACATGACTTGCCGATCAAGCGGGTCTTACTATAATCAAAATTAATTTACACAGATGTTAGTCACACAAACACCATTTTTTAATTAAATAGAATTACACCCGAATTTTATTAGCTATTAATCACTTTTTTTTATATTCATGATACTAAGCTTTTTGGAACATTTTTAGAAAATTGTCATTATAATTTGGAAGTGATTAATTTAGATATTAGTATTTAATTCTGAGAAATCAATATGATTTTTAAATAAATAACATTAGTTTGAAATTTTTAGGTATGAAAAATTAAAAGATGAAGATTAAGGCAAGAGATATAATGTTAGTGAATTTTTAGTCCACTTACTTATTTTATTCAATTTGAATAAATAAATAAAGTACTTTAAAAGTCAATGACTCAATGTACAGTAACTGTATATATTTGTGCATTCTGTTTAAATATTGCTTTCAATGATGTAGAATTATGTTGAGTCACATAGTACAGTATATATGTAGTGTTAATGAATATATGAATTAATATTTTTTCATAATAGCTTTATATTTTGTTATAAAATTACTGACTAAATAGCACTTAAATGTATAATTTAAATTGCTAAACTAAAATAGTACTTTAAATTATATTACATTATATGTATAATTTGATATTACTTCATCAACAGGTTTCCATAAAATACGTCGAAACCCAATTACTAAGATAACAAATCCTTTTAATTTATTAGGATTTGATTTAACTATTTTAACACGTTCATCAAATATTCCTGAGCTAAAATAATCAGCAACTCTTCCCTTTGCAATTGTATTCATATATGATTCCAGTTGTCTTATACCACTATTCAATACCTCACCTATAGTTGTCTGATTTGTTCTTTTATACTCTTTAGACCAATATGTATATGGTCTTTTTAATAAGATTTCTTCATCTTCCTTTTCAAGGATTTTATCTAAGTTTTCTAGTTCATTTGCACCATATTTAATGTTCTGATTTCTTATTAAACCAACTAATGAAATATATTTTAATTCTAAACTAATATAAATATCTCCTGTTACTTTCAAAACAAAAATATCTGAATAGCCAAAGCAACCTGATCCCTTTAGCTTTTTACCATCCATTACTAATGAAAGTTCTGGAATACAATATTTTAATGGTAGAAGATTTTCAACAATTGCCTGAAGCATAGATTCATCTGCTGAAGATAAAGACATCCTTGATCTTGTTAATAGAAAGGTCTTTAAAATTTCAATAAAAGGTATAATATTACCTATAACAAGACTTTCATATGCTGAAGCAACAAGAAGTGCATTATTAATAACCTGCCTATATATTAAATTATTTTTATTTTGTTCTAAAATTTGAATTTGTTTCTTCCAGGATCTATCTGTATCATCAGTATCATTATCTCTTATTCTTTTCAGTTTTCTTGTTTGTCTATCTTGAAGAATAATTTTTTCATTCCATTTTTCATTAAAAATAGATTCTAATTTTTCACCTAAACAATATTCTTTACTTTTAATATCATTATATGTATAACAATTACGAAATATTAAACGAATATCTTCTTCAAATTCTTTTAAACTTTTGTATTGATTATTTTCTAATTTTAAATTTATAGTAAATAGGTCCATTGGATGTTTTATAACCTTATTTTTAACATCCTCATCAGCATATTTATAAAATAAATAAGCATGAGATTCATTTTCAAGTTCATGAAATATATCATAACAAAAGTTAGTAAGTTTAATGTTCTCTTTAGATAAATCTAGTTGTGAAGATTCAGAAATATTTTTAACAGAACTTTTAACTATTTTTTTTGAAATCTTGTTGTAAAGTTTCAGAATGTTCAACTGACTTTTTTGGAAGAGATGTAACAGTGGTAAAATTATTTTCTCTTGATTGTAATGTTTCAGTAAGTTTAATTGGCTTTTTTGAAAGGGATGTAGTAAATGTATTTTCTTTTTCACATTCTTTAATAATTTTCTGATTTTTTTTATATTCTTTAATAACTTCTTGCCAGAATATTTGCAACTCTTTCTTGCGTTGGGAGTGCTCTGTATTTACCTATTATAAGAAAACAGATTGTTAATTGTATGCTAAATTTTTATTTAGTAGTAAAGAAGGTACATAGCCAATTCCTCCTCCAGAATTAGCAGACTTTACTAACAACAAAGTTAGGGTGCCTGGAATGAGAGCCCGGAGTGGTTACCGGGCGAACGAGACCAGTAATTCTCACAAAGTGACTACGACGAGTATTAGGAGTTACCCACCCTTTGCAAAATAAAAACAAAACATACCTTTTTCTTTAATTCATCAAAAGTATTTGAATCCAATAATTGTTTTGCTTTATTTAAAAAGCGTTTATTCCAAGTAATGTTAAAGCTTTGTTGCCACTTGGTTGGTATTAATAAAGTGTTAGTAGTTAGCTGAGTTAGTGAAGCAATAATAGTATTTTTGTTAAGTATTAAAAATCCATGGTAAGACCAATTTCTTGGTTCATTTAAGTAAGAAATAAGAGCTTCATATCCAATATAATTTTCATCTGTATTCATGATTAATTTGTAATATAATATAATATAAGTAGATTGTATTAATATAATATAAGTGATTAGTATTAATTATAAGTAGATTAGTATTAATTATAGATTATAAAAAATTTATAGATTATAAAAGATTATAAAAAATTTTCAAAGAGAATTTAGACATCTTAAATACAAAAAAAATAATATGGTTTGTACTGATATATTGATGCAAAATTAATTGTCAATCTGACCCATTATTACAAAAAATGACAAACTAAAATTCATCAAAGTTTATTATTTTTTGTAATAATGAGTCAAACTGACAATAAATATTATGTTTCATTATAATATTTTTTTTATAGTCATATCATTAGTTATTATTGCAACACAGATGTATCATTTAGAGTAAAGCTGTATTAGATTGTGTATATTAATACAATATTTCCCTAATTCTTTTATTAATAATGATACATTCTACTTCAGAAATATTTGTCATGACTAGATAATTTTGTAAATTAATAAAAAACATTTGATCAATTAATCATGAAGTAAATGTGTAATAAAGAATAATAATATTAGGAAAAATTTTTATATGAAGTCCGTCAAAAATAATAATAGTTAACACTCATCAAAGATTGATCTATATAACAAATAACAATGTGTCATCTGGTATATATGCGTACTACATCACATATTATGATAATTAATTTGTTTTTTTTTCTTGGTTTATATCATTAGTTTGTTTTAGATTAATATAATAAATTTTAAATTATGAATCTATTTATGCAATATGATGAGCCATAATGCCATATTTATTATCATATTAAAGTTTTTGTAATAATAGGTTAGACTGACAAAAGCTGAGTATTTGTAGTGCATCATATTGTGTCAATATTAAAATATATTTCTTTAGTAGGTCTTAGAAAATGAATGAAAAATCTAGACAAATTACTTGAAAAAGAAAATGAAGATCTGAGTCATATTATTTTTTATATTTAAGATCTCTAATTTCTCTCTCAATGAATACTATACTACTTTTAATAATAAATACATTTGTTTAATAAATTTACACTTTTGTTTAATAATCTAAAAATACTTTTTGTGAGACACTTTGTAAGTTAATAAACATGAGTATAGGAACTAAAAACTATATTAGATATGAGTAAGAAAATTGTATAACAACCTCTAGCAAGATCTTTATTCAGCTTCTAATCAACCCTTTGACCACATTACTTTTGAAAAAGTGTCAAAGCTTTAATATAGCCTGAAACAATTGCTTTTTAGTTAAAGAAAAGAACTGTTGAATACAAATACTTTATTTGTTGAATTAAAAAAAAGGTGCGTTTGCTTTTATTTTGCAAAGTATGGGTAACTCCTAATACTCGCCGTGGTCACTTAGTGAGAATTACTGTTTTGACAACCTTGGTAACCACCCCAAGCTCTCAACTCAGGTGTCCTTACTTTGTAGTTGATAAAGTCTGCTAATTCTGGAGGAGGAATTGGCTATGTACCTTCTTTATCACTAAATAAAATTTAATGCACTACTAATAATCTCTTCTTATAATAGGTAAGCACTATTATTTTACCTTAAAACCTTATGATAACCCTGTATAATTTAGATGGTGAAGTATATTGTTCGGATGTTAAAATAAAATTTAATTTGGAATGGTCTAAATAAAAAAAAACATATAATTTACTCACAATCTTATTGTAATAAGTATTATTGCTTATTTTATAATAATAAACTTTTATTGTTTTTTTACCAATTAAATTTTAAATTGCTAAATATTTAGTAGTTGTATTGAACTGAATTGATGTAATCATAAATATTTTAACAAAACATTTGTTATTATATTTATTTTGTTAGAAATTATTTGCTTTATATTTCATAATACTTTTAGTTTTTGGGTTTATTAGTAATATAGTAATTTTGTGTAATAAACTTGTAAAATAGTCACCAGGAAAAAAATGGTAGCTGGATTTATGTGCCAGTTCTTTAGAGCTAAGGATTAGGGTTAGGATTAGAAAAGGGATTAAAATTAGGATTAGATTAGGGTCATATAGAGTCACGGCGGTCACACCCTAACCTTATAATATTCTGGGAAAGAAATTTTTTATATGTAAAAATGCTAATTGTCACGCAATCCGGCTACTATTTTTTCCTGGGTTATTTATATACCTATCTTATCACATGATTATTTAATTACTGCATAATCATGCGTCACTTCAGAATATATTGATTACATTGCACACTATTAGGTCTTTACCTCCCCATAGGATGGTCGACAATACCATATTCCTTTACTACTAATAATGTAATAATTAGCACACTATTAAACATTTGACTACGATGAATCTCTTTCCATTTCTCTGCCTAATAAATAAATAAATTAGAAATAATATAGTTAATATAAATGCATCTTGTCTATACCAAGTATAGTTAGTACCACACTTCATACTATACTACAACATTGGAGGAATAATGAAAACTTATCAGATAATTAAGAAAACTAAGAAAACTATTCAATACTCATCACAGATAAAAAGAGATTATCATTAATTTTGACAATTTGGCTAGTAGTTAATTAGTCCATCCAAGTTGACAAGACGATTCTGTTACTGTTTAGTAATTTAATAATATATTACATTTATAGGTGCCGTCAGAATTGCCGAATTGAAATTTAATACGGGCATCACAAAATATGGATTTTACAATTTAAATATTTAACAAATCATTGAGACCAGCATTATAGATTTATGATTACAAATCATCTACAGCATAACCAGAAAAAAATATTTACTTACTTTGTATTTTTGACATTAGGCATTACGGTAATTTAATATATCACGGTATAAGCTTCATATACCGTAATCAATTCTGACGGCAAGTATAATTACATTACGTACCTTAAAAAGTCAATATTAAAATCTTGTATCATGTTCTCATTCATTCTCCTTTTGTTTTGAATTTGGATACCATTACGTTACGTTGCGTATAAATAATATAACCAATGAAAATTAAAATCATTAAACTAAATTTATACGTTTAATAGATTTACTTACATAATTACCTTTAATTGGTAGGTTTTACTCATTCAAACCAAGTTTTTATAACAATATTTATAATGATAAAAACAAAAAAAAAAAAGGATTGTATCTCTGTAATGATCATTTTATTAAAGATAGAGCAAAACTTCTTTTGGAAAATCGTCATACCATATTTTCCAATTTTGTCATTAAATGGTTGTCAGGAGCAATGATTATTATATTAATCATCAACGCCATAATAATTGTTACCAGTATTGTATAATAATCATTTTGAACTTAACATTTGTGTGCTGAATAAATTTCAAATCACAATCAAAAAGTGGTAGATTATTATTTTCTACATCTTTAGAAAAATTTTGTAGAAAATGACGTATCATATGATATCAGAGACTCGTTTTATTGGTAAAAAACTGGTTAATTTCTTGTCATTAGGAGCATGCGATTCTACGCCCAGGAATTCTTTCAAAGAAAACTATATTTATCGTTAAATAACAAATATTAACGAATCTTTTTATATAAACAATGTATGTATTCCTTCCCGTACAAAATTTAACAAAATATTAACAAATAAAATTTTTAAAAATCTTAAATTCGACTAAAGACTACTCTATCTTGTTACTTTATCACAATGCCAAAATTTATTCTTATTACCTTGTTTCTTACCTTTACTTTGGCCTGGGTTACTCAATCTATTCCTGCCATAAATTACCTTGAACATGCTACTGAACCTGCCAAAGAATTTTTCTATTTTCCTTCAAAAGTTAATCGAAAACTTAATGAATGCAATTATTGTGGTGGATTCTATCCCCAATGTTGTGCGAATTTATGTGGTGTCCTCGGTTACAAATATTATCAATGTCTTGAATGCAGTTGCGGTTGTGGGAATTGAAAATTTCACGTAAATTATAATTATATTTTATTATTTTCTTAGTATTTACTTGTCTTGTTTGTCTCATTATTTTTTCTTATTGTTTCCTTATGTTTCTTTATTATTTTTCTTTCTCAATGTAATTATTATATAAATAACAAAAAAAATATTATAGGAAGAGTCATGTGAATAACATGTATTACAATAT